AGCCTTTGTGTTCTTTTTGGTCAGCAGTGGCTTTTGCCTTGGAACTCTCCCATGGATGCCGTTTTTGCCCAGTCTCTTTCTTATTGTTGAATCATGAACACTGACCTTAATTGATGCAAGTGAGGCCTGCAGTTCTCTAGATGTTGTTCTGGGTTCTTTTATGACCTCATGGATGAATCGTTGTTGCGTTCTTGGAGTAATTTTGGTAGGCCAGCCACTCCTGGGAAGGTTCACCACTGTTCCAAGTTTTCTCTATTTGTGGATAATGGCTCTAACCATGGTTCGCTGGAGGCCCAAAGCCTTAGAAATGGCTTTATAACCCTCTCCTGACTGATACATGTTAACTATTTTGTTTCTCATCTGTTCTTGAATTTCTTTAGATCGCGGCATGATGTGTTGCTCTTTAAGCATGCTTCACTTTGTCAGACAGGTTCTACTTAAGTGATATCTTGATTCAACAGGTCTGGCAGTAATCAGGCCTGAGTGTGGCTAGTGAAATTTAACTCAGCTTTCTAAAATAATGAATATGAGACTTGGATCCTGCAGAGTTGCTGAAGAAGAATAAGAAGACTGAGGAAGACTATGCAGAGCTGGATGAGCATAAAGCTCTTAGTGTCCTGCAGCGCTGGAAGGAGATGAGAGAGTTCTGTGAGGGAGCATGTCCTCTGGTTCTTGAACATGTGGAGGTCCGTTCACTGCTTAACGCCGAAAAGCCAGGCCTCCCTCAGGTCAGACTCCATCGCACACACACAAAGACTGGTTAGCAGTCTTAGTCAAGGCCAGTTAGCTTGAATAAAACCAACACTAAAGCTGCGTCCCAAATGACACACTGTACACTATACACTTATTCAATGCATTATGTACTCAGTTATCTTGTGTATGAGTTATATAAGGTTATTTTGTCATCCAGCATACCCTCTCATTCTAGGATGTTATTAAAGCACTGACAGTTGATTTAGTTTCTCGGTTAATTGAGTGCATCATCTGGGCATTTGAAGTACACCTTTTCTTTTTGGAATTTTCAGTGTGAGCACACTAGTCACACTATTTATACTGATAATGGCATAGAATAGTTCATAAGTATGCAAATCGGGACGCACCGTTGTACATAATCATATCTCTTAACATTATCTCTTATGTCCTTGTCTTTGACATGGCAGGGTTATGCTCACATGTGGATTGACATGTTTCCTGTGGATGTACCTCCACCACCACCTGTTAATATCAAACCTAGACTTCCAGAGAGGTAATCAGGACATCACACATTAATTATACTAAAGCAATATATGTTCCAAAAGCAAAGTGTCACCAAAAACACACTGAAAGAGAATTAAAGATCTGAAAATTACTTTCTACACTTCTCTCAAGAATAATAATTAGCTTATGTGCAATATTTGTGTAATGAGAGAATTATCCCTGTGTTTCTAGTTATGAGCTGCGTGTGATCATCTGGAATACTGATGATGTCGTACTGGATGATGTCAATCCTTTCACTGGAGAGCCATCTAGTGACATCTATGTTAAAGGGTCAGAATACACAAGAAATTAAATAGCCCAGAAAATCTAAAGTTTCTTTGATGCCACTTTACAGTTCTCTGTTCCATATAAAATTTAATAGTAATATTCCATAAAAAACGAAGTTTGGATTCCATAAGATTGTTTTTAAAAGAAATTAAACCTTTTATTCAGCATGGATGGATTTAATTGAATCAAAAGTGGAAGAGATTGCTTTTTTAAAAAGATTAAAATATATTGTATTATATTTAATGTATACAGTATATATATATATATATATTATAAATAAATACTATATATTATAAATAAATACAGCCTTGGTGAGCATAATGGACTTATTAAAAAAATATTATTAAAAAAAATATTATTTTTACATTCACCAGCTGGATTAAAGGTCTGGAAGATGAGAAACAGGAGACGGACGTGCATTTTAATTCCCTCACTGGTGAAGGCAACTTCAACTGGCGCTTTGTCTTTCACTTTGACTATCTTCCTACTGAGAAGGAGATCATCTACAAGAAGAAGGAGTCCCTCTTCGCCCTTGAGAAGACTGAATTCCGCCAACCGGCTGTTCTGGTGCTGCAGGTCTGGGATTATGACCGCATCGGTTCCAATGACTTCTTGGGTTAGTGGTTGTAGTTACTAGTCAAGGGTTCATTTATGAAATCTACTGACATTTTCTAGTTGGTCAGTAAAAACATGAGTTCCTTTCCAGGATCCATAGAGTTGCGTCTCAGTGATATGGTCCGTGCATCAAAATCATCCGAGCAGTGCAGCGTCAAGATGGCCAAAGACAAGGCTGGCCCTCGCTTCTCCATCTTCCGCAGCAAGAGGATGAAGGGTTGGTGGCCGCTCATCAAACTAAAGAGCCAAGAGGACATCGAGAGAGAGGAGAGGGAGGCAGAACAAGAGAAGAAAAACAAGAAGAAGAAGAAAAAGAAGTCGAGCAAGCGTAGCCAAATGAAACCAGAAGATCTGCAGTTTGTGGACAACAGTGGGAACACCTTCCTTCTAATGGTACAAGCACTTTGTCAGTGCACCAATAAAGAGTAAAATCAATGTGATAACACTTTTGTTTACTTTGTAAAGGTAGACTCCAACTCTTCATTCATTAATGTGGTTTGCAGGGTAAAGTAGAGGCAGAGTTCCACCTAGTGACAGCTGAAGAAGCCGAGAAGAACCCTGTGGGAAAAGCACGCAAAGAACCCGAACCTCTGGACAAACCAAAGTAAGAGACTAAAACACACTATCTGTGCATATATAGATATTCATATCAGTTTGCATCTTTATTGTGTACTTACTAAAATGTGCTACATAAATGTTTTTGTTCCTTTAAGCCGCCCCAAGACATCCTTCAACTGGTTTGTGAACCCCTTGAAAACCTTTGTGTTCTTTATCTGGAAGAAGTACAAGAAGTACATCATTGCTTTGATCATTTTGGTTATCCTTGGGCTCTTCCTCTTCCTCATCCTCTACACCCTGCCTACACACATCAGCCAGCTTATTGTCAATGGATGAGAAATGCACTGATCAACAGGGGAAATAATTATACACGTGTACATAGCCATTATTTACTTTTAATAGGAAAGACATAAGCAATAATAACTAGAATTAGACTTTAACAATACAAACAATTGCTTGTTAAAGGTGCAGCAAGCCATTTCTGACTATCACTGTTGATATTTAAAATGACCAAAACAAGCACGCCCCTACCCAAAATGATCACACCCCTATCTTGATAGCAAAATTCACAAATAAGCAATGCAATAGCCCCTTCCCCCATCATTAGTGGACACACCCCTTACTGGCAATTGGCTAAGTGTTTTTTGGTGCTCAGTCTGATCCACTTTCAACAGTGTTTCTCAGAAATTGCTTACTGCGCCTTTCATAAATTCAGTGCCGTTTAATGCTTTATGATTCCATGTACACTGATGTTCAAAAGATTAAAAGAAATTAATAATTTTAATCAAATAAATGCAGCCTTGGTGAGTTTTTAAAAAAGGATTAAGAATTTTAATTTTCAATCATGCTGCTGCTTTTAAATATATTATTTTTATATGTATTCTAGAACTGTTTTGTCAATTAAGTGATATGGTATGGAACGTATACACAACAAAAGCATTGCCTTCATTCAGAAGAAAAAATCTTTCATTTATGTCTAGACTGTCAGAACTTCACTTGTCTTTTTCCAAGATTAGGGTTTTATTTGCAGAACTAGAAAATTCAGCAATTTGAGGTTCCTGACAGAAGCCTATTCTACAGAGGTACACGGTAGTAAATTTGATAAATGAAATGCTCCAGCCTGGTCACAGTATATGCTACAGTTTCAGTGACACTGCTGCTCAGTGTACTTGATGATATGACAAATAGAAACCAACATCCATAAAAAAAAAAAGTGTATTGCATTCAGGAACATGCTTCCTGCATCTTTAGAAAAGAGAGTTTTCTCAGAATCAGAAGAGCTTTATTACCAAGTATGTTTACACACACAAGGAATTTGACTTGACGACAGGAGCTTCCAGTGTAGAAGAAAGTACAAACATAGTGCAGACATACATAGGAATAACACAGTAGGGATGTAATATAACACTAATATAATAAAAAAAGAAAAATTAAATAATGTACTATATACAGAAATAGAAGTATAGAAAAAAATTTAATTGTTTAGATAAATGTACATATATGTTTATTAGTGTGCAGATATGTTATTTACAAAGTGTGCAGTTTAATATAAATATACTATGTTAGTTGTGATGGACGATGTATAATTATGAAAGATTAATTGTTCAGACTGAATATAGCTTGTGGGAAAAAACTGTTCTTGTGCCATGTAGAGCAATAATATAAAACGTGACAGCATGTGCCTTAGTGATAGTAAATTATGTTTCAGCACTCTGTGATTCTGGGCTGATCTCAGAGTACATGATATAAACCCACTCATGTGAGATAATTACTTGTGATATAGAGAAGGATAATTATATAGAATCCACCAATGAAGCCTTACTGTCACATGGGAATACAACTAAAAACTAGCAGCTAATGGACATGCAAATGATCACTTTATAATAACCACAGTTTCCATGGTTATGGTTATACATCATCACACCTCAGTGTTACGGACAGAATGTCACAAAAAATAAATTAACCTTAAGGTATTCTCTAAAATACTATGTGAAAACCATGGTACCTGGATATATTAATCATCTACAATCTGATACCATCACCACGATGTGCAGGAGATCCATTTTATTTTCATCTCAGTTGTAATTGGATTGTCACTTTCATTTTATCAGCTTCCATCAGCTACAGCAACTTTTAGGAATGAATGAATAAATTAATTAATCTACAATAATTTGCTATATTTGACTTTTTTAATGAGTTTGTTTTCAGTGTAGTCACCTTAAAGTAGGTCTATATATTTTTACAGTGCATGGGCTTTAGGCATCCAGCCACCACAATGAGAGTTGTGAATGAACAGCTTGGGAATGTGCAGCAGGGGTCACATGGCTCTCTGCAGGGCCGTTTGGGCTGTCTTGGATAGGGAGCAAGCGGCTGACTGAGTGAAACTCTAATCAGAGGGGACGGCTGGGATAGGTGACTTCCAGGCTTTTTTTTTTAATTAATGATACGTTATGTTGTGCTCTTTTCTACACTCTCAAATCAAAAGGCAAAAAGTTTTTAGTTTTCTGATGTTCTCTCTTAATGTACTGTTTTGTTTGTGAATGAATCAGAATTTTGAATGAATCATTTACCTGAATGAACTGATTTCTGAAGATCCTACTGAATGAATACATCCTTCACCGAACAAGTCGATGGGGTTTTAAATCTGAGCGACACAAGCCTGTGAATAAACAAACCGAGACATCGCATTTTGAACAAAATTTTTGGATGTGCACAAATAGTTTGTAAAGAACCAGTTAAATGATTCAGTGTTTCACTACAAACACAAAAAGACACTTGTCGCCACCTACTGGCGTAGTGTAACCTACAAAAAAGAGTCACCGAATGAATCAGTAAACAAACAGATTTAAAAGATTCGATTCTTTGGATGAATCAAAATCCCCACTGTAACGGTTTAATACGTTTATAGGCTTTATATATATATATAATTTAGAAAATGGCCCTAATGCACACTTTTAATACATAAGAGAAAAATATCTCATAATAGCCTACAATATCTTTATATCATAGATAGAATCTGGTGCCGGTTGCATAAACTATAGGCTAGTCTTAAAAGTTAGTCATATAAGTCAGTTACATAAAACGGTAGATCTAATTTGAATCTAAAAGTAAACTGATTACTACACTGCTAGTTGATCAAACTACTTCTTAAAGGGGTCATATGACGTTGCTAAAAAGAACATTATTTTGTGTATTTGGTGTAATGCAATGTTTATGCGGTTTAAGGTTCAAAAAACACTTTATTTTCCATATAATGTACATTATTGTTGCTCCTCTGCTCTGATTGGCCAGCTATCCAGTGCGTTGTGATTGGCCGAATACCTCAAGCGTGTGATGGAGATTTTAAACCCCTTAACATACTGTGATGCCGTCTCCCAGCAGGGCGAAACAAAACCAATAAAACCCATTACAAACGAGGCATTTGTTGCATCCAGTGGGGACATAATTACTGATTATAATGACTTATACTGTCTTTTTACGCGTTGCATTGCGTATCGCACTGCGTAAACATAAAACCATGTCTGCATTTGTGATCGGAGAAACAACAAACAACAAGCGCTACTCTACACTGCTCAAAACTCGCGTTTGAATCATCAGGTATGCAACTCTTCCCACATCGTGACGTAGACATGTGGGGGCGTGTTAGAACGAGACGTTTTAGGTAGGTGTGGCTGACTCTTAACTTTTATAAAGAATATCTCTTTGGATTTGAGACTTTAGTCTTTGCAACTTTACAGATCTTTTTTATGCACCAAGAGCTTGTAACACTCCAAAGAGAAAGGAAAAATTGAAATCGCATCATATGACCCCTTTAAGACACAGTCCTAACATGGCTATGTTTATGCAACTGGCCCATGATGGTGGTATTATTCTTTTTCAGATTGCACTTGAAAACGCCATCTCCACTACCGGATAATATACTGACCACAGTAGATGTTTATAATAGTTTCACCAGTAGGCTATTAACCACCCCAGCCATTGATGTGCTTTGTGGAGACCATTGACCAACTGCGCATGCGTACTATCGAACAGTCAGCGCTAGACCAACACTAAAACCGTCCTGTTTCCTCTTTATGCGCTTTCGCCACTATAGCCAAACATAACACTGCTGCACTTTACTTGGCTACTGTGGTGACTTTTCAAACAGCTTGACACCAGCTTCCTTACTGACAATATTATCATTTTTAATGGGCTTGCTGTGAAACATTTCTTTTATAATTTTCTTAATTTTCCTTCAAAATGCCTGAGTTCATATCAGTGGACGAGTTCATCGCGGAGACTTTGGAGGACTACAGCTCTCCCACCACCTCTTCCTTCTACACCAAAATGACAAGTTGCCGAAATTCCGCCAACAATATCGAGGAGGTATGAGAATATGCTTTCATCTGCTGCCTTCTGCTGTAATCGCTTATGTCTTTGACAGTTAAGTTGTGCAACATTATGAATGAACTGAATGTGCTCTGTCCGTCAGCAGCAGCAGCAGGTCTCAGTAGGCTATGTCTTTGTGTCTTTATCCTGTTTTACGCTGTTTTGATTCAATGCAGAACTGCTTAGTCCAATGAACGTGTTGGCTTTCATGTATTTTTCTCCATGAGCACTGCTTCAAACATTACTACAGCAGACACTGACGCTCTTTGTCTTGTTGAATCCAATTGGGCTGAGCGCAGCCTATTTCCAACACCACAAACCATGTGATTTCAAGCTAAATCCTCAATTAAAATATAGAAAATTATTGTATTCATATAACCAGTGTGCTTTTAAAACAGTTCAAATTATTAAATGGCATGTATCCTCTCGTTTTCATGTGGTGCCGTGACATATAGGCTACTACAACTGAAAGAGGAAGGGTAACACATTTCTTTGTGCGTTAACGTACATTTCCTCGTCGTTATTGCACATTAAGTTGCACCGAATACTTTGCAATCTTTCCGTTTTTGTAGTAATATATTTAATTCGCATTTTGCCGCTATCTCGCGCTTCTTATCGCCTATCCCTCCTCGTGCGTCAATACGTGCTTCTGCTGTATTATCACGAGCACGTGCCTTTCATCCAGCGTTTATTAAACTGCATAAACAAAAGCCGGTTTAGGATTCATGGGCCTTTTGGAGCTAAGGAACCAGCATATAATGTTTCTGGATCCGCATCCTTTGTTGTTGTTGTTGGTGTTGAAAGAACCTTCCCATGAACCAATCATTGCCCTCTGATTTTAGGGTTAGGAATGGGATGATTGGTTGATAGGGATGTTGCAAAGGATGCTGATCCAGGATCGTATCCTGTTAGTGAAGATCATATTGTACAACGAAAATAATGTTTGGGTGAGGTTTTTTCACTGCTGTTTGCCAAGAGGCATCATTAGTGCATTAACAAAAAAAAAAAAGAAAATAATTAAATGTATTTTTTTTTTTATTATTTGTTTGTTTGCTTGCTTTATAAACATAACTTGTTTATTATTTAATTTGTATTTATCATATGTATTTGACCTGAAAACAATGTGATTATTTTGCTATTGTGTATTTTGACACAACACAGGTCATCCTCTTCCTAATAAACCAAAGCTAATTTTTATGCACATTGGTCTACATTTTCAGACCCCCAGTTGTGCCAATTTGAGGCATACAGCCGGGTCAGAGTGGTAACAATTGAATGATGACTGCTTTAATAAGAGTGACATAGTGGAATGTGAAGTAACCATGGTGATGACCTGGCCTGTGCAATACACAGCCATGCAAATTGAACAGTGCACTGCATTACATGCTTGATTGTTTGGGCTTCATGTGACAGGATGGGACCCTTAATATCT